ACAGTAAGGCTATACCATGACCATCTCCAGCAAGCCAGAATTTAATAATTTCCTCATGGCATTATGATGGCTAAATCCCACACAATCAACTCCTAGGGTTTACAAATGACCAGAAACAAACTGGACCAATCCATATGAATACTGTGGCTACAAGGGTGGACCAGAGTCTAGAAATTCTGCAGCGAGTAACTAGCTTCCTGACTCTCCAATATTGTCCACCATCTACAAGGCACAAATCAGGATTGTGATGGCATACTCTTCGGTTGCCTGGATGGGTGCAGCCCAACAACACTCAAGAAGCTTGACACCATCCAGGCACCCCATCCAACATTCAGCATTCACTCCCTCCACCACCGTTGCACAGTAGCAGCAGTGTGCACTTTCTACAAGATGCACAACAGTAACTCACCAAAGTTCCCACAACAGTCCCTTCCAAATTTGCAATCTCAGCAGCCTTGAAGGACAAAGGCAGCAGATACATATGGATGCCACCATCGATAAGATCACTCCGACACATTCAACATCCTGACTTGGAAGTAATTCAGCTGTTTCTTCAGAGTCAAAATCCTGGAACTCCCTCCCTAACAACCCGATGAGTGCACCTAGACAAAATGAAATGTGGCAGCTCAAGAAGGCCACCAACAATCATCTTCTCAAAGGACAATTGGGAGAGGGGCAACAAATCCTGACCAGAGACACCACATCACAGTGAAGATTTTTTTTTAAAACAGAAGCAGCACATCCTCTCTCTTGGCCCTGGAAAGGCCAATTTCTCATACCGTCAAGAAAACATTTCCATTTTGGCTGAGATGAATGCAGCTCAACAACACTCAAAAAGCTCAACACCATCCAGGACAAAGCAGCTCACTCTATCAGCACCATGTCCACCACATCCATATTCACTCTTTATCACCAATGCACAGTGGCAGCAATGTGTACCACCTACAAGATGCACTTCAGCAACTCAACAGGCTCCTTGAGCAAACTATTGGGATTGAAGACAGACAAGTCTCCAGGGCCTGAGGGCTTACATCCTAGGGTCTTAAAGGAAGTGGCATCAGAGATAGTCACCTATTTGTTATGATATTACAAAATTCCCTGGATGCTGGAAAGGTTCCAGAGGATTGGAAAAGTACTAATATATAGCCCTTATTCAAAAAGGGAGTCAGGTAGAAAGTAAGAAACTATAGATTGGTTAGTTTAAAGTCTGTGGTCAGGAAATTGTTAGAATCCATTATTAAAGAAGTAATAACACAATATTTGGAAAGTCAAACTACATTCCATCAGAGCCAGCATGGTTTTATGAAGAGTAAATCATGTTTGACTAATTTGCTAAAGGTCTTCAAAGGTGTAACAAGCAAAGTGGACAGTGGAGGAACCTGTAGATGTAGTATATCTGGACTTCCAGACAGCATTTGATGAAGGGCCACACAAAGGTTAATACACAAGGTAAGGTAGCATGGGGTGAGGGGTAATTTATTAGCTTGGATAGAAGATTGGCTAGCCAGCAGAAAGCAGAGAGTCAGTATAAATGCCTAGTTGGCACGATGTAACTAGTGGGGTGCCATAGGGTTCGGTCCTTGGGCCCCAACTACTTACAAGTTATATTAATGACTTGAACGTGGGGATAGAAAGTACAATAGCCAAATTTGCAGATGACACTAAAATAGATGGGAAAGTAAGTTTCAATGAAGAAATTTATAAATGGATATGGATAGGTCAGATGAATGCGCCAAAATGTGGCACATGGAGTTTAACGTGGATAAGTGAGAGGTTATCCATTTTGGTCAGAAGAATAGAACGGCAACTTATTATCAAAATGGAGAGAAACTTCAGAGTGCTTTAGTACAGAGTGATCTGGGTCCTCGTGCATGAATCACAGAATGCTAGTATGCAGGTACAGCAGGTAATATGGAAGGAAAATGGATTATTTGGTATTTATTGCTAAAGGAGTAGAGTATAAAAGTAGGGAAGTGTTGCTGCAATTGTACAAAGCACTAGTGAGACCATACATGGAAATTTTGTGGACAGTTTTGGTCTCCTTGAGGAGGGATGTAGTTACATTACAGGCAGTTCAGAGGAGGTTCACTAGATTGATTCCAGAAATGAGGGCTTTGTCTTATAAGGAGAGTTTGAGCTGTTTAGGCTGATACTGTCTGGAGTTTAAAAGAATAAGAGGAGACCTAATGAGGTACATGAGATGCTAAAGGGGAGTGACAAAGTAGGCGTAGAATGGATATTTTCTCTTGTGGAGCAATCTAGAACGAGAGTTTATAGTTCGAAGATGCGGTGTAGTAGATTTAAAACAGAGGGTTGTGAACCAATGGAAATCACAATCCCACAGTGTAAATTCATTGAGTCATACAAACTTTTGGCCCATCGAGTCTGCACTGACATAGAAAAAGTGCACTAATCCCAATTTCCTGCACTTGTCCCATATCCTTGATTATTATGATATTTGAAATACTCATCTAAATTTTTTTTAAAGGTTGTAAGGTTTCCAGCCTCCACTACCTACCGAGGCAGTGCATTCCAGATTCCACCATCCACTGAGTGAAAAGGTTTTTTCCTAAATTCCCTCTGAATCTCCTGCCCTTAACCTAAAACTATGCCCCCTCGTGACTGATGCCTCGAACTAAGGGAACAGCTGCTCTCTATTCACCTTATCCATACTCCTCATAATCCTGTACACCTCAGTCATGTCCCCCCAGTCTTCTCTGCTCTAAAGAAAACAATCCAAGCTGATCTAGTCTCTCCTTATAGCTCAGTTTCTCCCTCCCAGGCAACATCTTGGTGACCCTCCTCTGTTCCCCCTCTACTGCTATCACATCCTTCCTGTAGTGAGGTGACCAGAACTGCACACAGTACTCCAGATGTGGCCTGGCCAACACGCTGTACAAATCCAGCATTACCTCCTTGCTCGCATACTCTATGCCATGACTGATGAAAACAAGTGTCCTATGTGCCTTCTTAATTATCCTGTTCACGTGCTCTGCTGACTTCAGGGATCTGTGAATAATTACCCCAAGATCCTGCTGTCCCTCTAAGGTACCCAGTGTCCTGCTATTCATTAAATACTCCCTCACCTTGTTTCTTCTTCCAAAGTGCATCACCTTGCACTCATCAGAGTTAAATAGCATCTGCCACTGGTCTGCCCATCTGAACAACTCATCTATATTTTCCTTTAACTTACGAATTTCTTCTTCACCATTAACCACTCTACCAATCGTGGTGTCATCTGCAAATTTGCTTAAGACACCCAACCCCCACCATTTTCATCTATATCATTTTATGTGTATAACAAGTAATAAGGGTCCCAGTACTGATCCTTGTGGTATACTGCCAGATACCAGCCTCAAACAGCCTTCTACAATAACCCTTTATGTCCTATTACTAAGCCAGTTTCTGATCCACCTCGCCAACGTTCCCTCAATTTCATGTGCTGGATGTATAGTGATGCTGGGACATTGAGTAAATTTAATGAGGAGATAGACAGATTTTCAATTAGCAACAGGTTGAAGGGTTACGGAGAGCAGACAGGAAAGTTGAGTTGAGGCCAAGGTGGGATCAGACATGGTCATATTGAATGGCGGAGCAGGCTTGAGGGAGTGTATTGCCCACGCCTGCTCTGAGTTCTTATGTTTTTATGACAACACCTTCCAAACCTATACCACAAAGAAGGACACGGGCAGAACATACACGGGAACATCATCACCTGCAAGTTCTCCTCCAAGAATAATACCATCCTGAATCAGAATCATATTTCTACTCTTTCACTGTCCCTGGGTAAAAATCCTGAAACTCTTTTCCTTACAACACAGTTCCCTACACATAGGGGACTGCAGTCATTCAAGAAGTCAGCTCACCACCACCTTTTCCATAGCAAGTAGTAATGGGCAATAAATGTGACATGTTCATTCCATAAATGAATTTTTTTAAATGGCGATGTATGACATTATTCAATTTGGCGTGAAGAATAGAAAAACTTATCTTTTTCTGAGTGAGAAACAATTAAATGTCAGTGTTCAGAGGGATTTGGGTGTTCTCAAAAGAAATGTATGAACTTAATAAACAGGTTTAGCAAGCAATTAGAAATACAAAAGTCTGTTACACAAGGGAGTTGGAATACAAGAGCAAGAAAGTCTTGCTGCAACTCTGCAGGACTTTGGTGAGGCCATAGTGTACACTTTTGATCTCTTACCTCAAGAAAGATATACTTACCTCTGACAGGTTGTATCAACAATTTGCTAGATTCCTGGAATAAGAGGATTGCTTTCTGAGGATGGATTGAGTCAAATGAGTCTGTAATCTCTACAGTTTAGAAGAATGAGAGGTAATCCTACCAATACATAAAATGATCTAGAGAGGGCAGTTACTGAGAAGCAATTTCCCCTGGCTGGGCAGTCTAGAACAAGGGGCCATAATCTCAGAACACAACACTTATCAGGACTCTTGTGACACACTTGTAGTGTTCCTACCTCTGGGTCAGAATATCCACATTCAAGTCTCACCTTTCCTGTAAGTGTGTCACAACATGCCTGAACACGTTGATGCAAAATAACTATGACACTCCATTAAAAAAACAAACAATCTATTGATCTCCATTTCCATATGTTAATAATAACTGAAAAGTCACAACTCTCGGCCAGAAAGTTCCAAAGATTCCCAACCCACTGAGATCAGTAATTAGACTAACAATCAAATTGGGAATGAATCCTAAAATTACACCTGAACAGTAAATTGCTTACATTAATAAATACTATCAGAGCCAGTATCGTGAACAGAGAGTAGGTAACCTGGAAGAATTGCTCCATGTGAAATTACAAGCTACACTGTACAGATAGTTGTATTCAGAACCTTTACTTCCCCAGCTCATTAATTAATACTATTGCTAGAATTAAAAGCTCCTAAAGAAAACTTAAGAGGCAGTCGGAATATTTATCAAATTGTTACCAATGTTCCTCGTCATACCTCAATACTGCTAAACAAAGAATACTTACATTAGTTAGGTTTTCCATGTTGAATCTCATCTCAGACATTTATACCAGGTAATAAACGTTACTGATATGTTGATGAATTGTCTATGAGTTTCACTAATACATTATTGCCCCCTTTGAATACTCAGAACTGCTGCCCAACACAAGAATCTGGTGTGCAAAGATTTTTTTAAAAAAAATTATTGACGCTCTTCCTGTCTGACAAATAATGTAAGGGGGAGGAGTGGGTGCCACTGGCAATTTTCCCTTTTATTTCTTGATTTGCATAAAGAATCTGCATTAGACAAACGTGACCGTGAGCAGCTTTTCAGAGCAGCAGAAAGAAAGAATTACATTCATATAGGACCTGCCCAATCTCAGGATATCTCAAAATGTTTCACAATTAAGTAATATCAAAGTGCAAACATTTCTGAATATGACCTTTTTATTCCTAAAATTCAAATATTCTTTTTCCTAAATACTTAAAGAGGGAAGAGATAATGACCCAAAGGATAGGAATGTCATGCTGATTAGTTAACAGGGAAGAGTATAATCAGAGGCAAAGATGAGAAAAGTAAAGAAAAAAACTAAATACATTGATTGGAAGCCAGATTTTTAAGAGGTTTTTGAGGCAAAGTATGAAGGCATTATGTCAAAGAGTTACAGGTACAATGACTGATGGAACAGTTCCAACAATGTGGGAACGGGAATGAGGTGCAAACAACAAACCATAGTGTAAGGAGCAGCAGTGTGTGATTGGAGAAGATTACTGAGATCAGTTATGGAACAATTTGAAAATAACAATCTCAAAATGAACAGAAATGGGTCTGAGAGAGTTTATATGGGATAGTTTGGACAGGCATTTCTGTGAGAGGACTCAAGGCATTAAGGTTTGAGTCACAGAAATGTACAGCACAGAAACAGACCCTTCAGTCCAACATGTCCATGCCGACCAGACTAACCCTAAATAAATCTAGTTCCATTTGCCAGCATTTGGCCCATATCCCTCTAACTGCTTCCTATTCATATACCCATCCAGATGCCCCTCAAATGTTGTAATTGTACCAGCCTCCTCTGGCAGCTCATTCCATACACGTACCACCCTCTGCGTGAAAAGGTTGCCCCTTAGGTCCCTTTTAAACCTTTCCACTCTCACCTTAAACCCATGCCCTCTAGTTCTGGACTACCCCAGCCAGGGGAAAAGACCTTGGCTATTCACCCTATCCATGCTCCTCATGATTTTATAAACCTCTATACTGTCACCCCTCAGTCACTGACACTCCAGGGAAAATAGCCCCAGCCTGTTCAGCCTCTCTCTGTAGCTCAAACCCTCCAAAACTGGCAACATCCTTGTAAATTTTTTCTGAACGCTTTCAAGTTTCACAACATCCTTCCTATAGCAGGGAGACCAGAATTGCACGCAGTAGTCGAATAATGGCCTAACCAATGTCCTGTACAGCTGCAACATGATCTCCCAACTCCTACACTCAATGTACCGGCCAATAAAGACAATACCAAATGCCTTCTTCACTATCCTGTCTACCTGTAATTCCATTTTCAAGGAACTATGAACCTGCACTCCAAGGTCTCTTTGTTCAGTAACACTCCCCAGGATCTTACCACTAAGTGTACACATCCTGCACTGATTTCCCTTTCCAAAATGTAGCACTTCACATTTATCTAAATTAAACTCCATCTGCCACTCCTCGGCCCATTGGCCCATCTGTTCAAGATTCGGTCATGCTCTGAGGTAACCTTCTTCACTGTCCACTGCACCTCCAATTTTACTGTCATCTGCAAACTTACTAACCATACCTTCTATATTCACTTTCAAATTATTTGTATAGCTGACAAAAACTGTGGGCCCAGCACCTATCCTTGTGGCACACTGCTGATCACGGGCCTCCAGTCTGAAAAGCAACCCTCTACCAACACCCTCTGTCTTCTACCTTTGAGCCAGTTCTGCATCCAAATAGCTAGTTCTCCCTGTGATCTAACCTTCTTAACCAGTCTACCATGAGGAACCTCATCAAACGCCTCGCAGAAGTCCATATCGATCACATCCACTGCCCTGCCCCCATCAATCCTCTTTGTTACTTCTTCAAAAAACTCAAATCAAGTTAGTGAGACACAGTTTCCCATGCACAAAGTCTTGTTGACTGTCTCTAATCAGTCCTTGCTTTTCCAAATTCATGTAAATCCTGTCCATCAGGATTCCCTCCAACAATGTGCCTACCGCTGATGTCAATCTCACCGGTCTATAGTTCCCTGGCTTTTCCTTCCCACCTTTCTTACATACTGGCACCACATTAGCCAACCTCCAGTCTTCCAGCACCTCACCAGTGGCTCTCAATGATACAAATATCTCAGCAAGAAGCCCAGCAATCACTTCCCTACCTTCCCTCGGAGTTCTAGGATACACCTGATCAGGTCCTGAGGATTTATCCACTTTTATGCACTTTAAGATACCCAGCACCTCCTCCTCTATAATATGGACATTTTTCAAGATGTCGCTATTTATTTCCTTATGTTCTCTTTCTTCCATATCCTTCTCCACAGTAAATATTGATGCAAAATACTCGTTTAGAATCTCCCCCATCTCATGTTGTTCTGCACATAGGTGCTCTTGCTGATCTTAAAGCAGTCCTATTCTCTCCCTAGTTGCCCTTTTGTCCTTAATGTATTTGTAGAATCCCTTTGGTTTCTGCTTCACATTAACTGCAATTCATGTAACATAGGAAGGCAATTTGAATTCTAGGGGTGACAATGGTGTGGGTTTTGCTAGTAGAAGGGGTGAGGTTGAGGAGCAACAAAAATGATTTTAGCAAGGCCTGGAGTCAAGAAAAACACACTGTGCATGTTACTTGGTTGTACCTGCATGGTCAGCCAGAGGCATGTTGGAACTGATGGGGACCAAAATGGGTGGTTTCAGTGTTATTAATGTTGAGTTGAAGGATAATCCAAGGCAAGCATGCTGCAAAGTACACGATTAACCCTGATTGTAGGGGACATCTATAGTCAATTTTCTAACTTGATGGTCTCAGTTGAAAGCTTCACCAGACCAGCAACATGTTAGCAATGTTGGAAAAGTTATACACACAGCTGACATAATTTCTGCTATATCCTTCCTCCTAGGAACCTGACAATAATAATTCCTCAACAAATACCACTTTAAAAGTGTTTACATCACATTGCTGTTTTTGGGAATGTGATGTGTGTTAATTACCTGCTGCATTTCCTACATTACAGTAATGGCTATACTTCCAGAAGTACTTCACTGGCTGTAAAACTTTGGTACGAAAGATATTGCAAAATTGCAAGCTCTTTTTGAGAATAGAGGTGGTCACAATCATGAAGAGATGGCACAAGGTAGTTTAAGGCTCACTGCTCATCTTAGCTCAACAAAAATACTGTCCCAGATCTATACTGAGCTGCTTTTGGACCACATTATGTGCCTGAAAACTGTAGTTAGGCCCCCTCCCCACATCCTGGAGCTGTGATCTGGATAACAAAGAGAGATATTACCTGAAATAGATGGACAAGACAAGATGCCCTTTAAGATTTGCAGCAGTTGAACTGTCAACATTAAAGAGGTAGTGTAATTTCAATTAAGCTTATATTAAATGATTTGTTTAAGGAAATTAGGATATTTGATGAGAGAAAAATTAATATTTCAACAGCACATTTCACAACCTCAATATGTCTTAAAGCATATTTAGCCAATGAAGTGCTCTTGAAGTCTAGTTATTTTTGTAAGAACTGTTGTAGCAAAGGAGTCTGAAGGAGGTCTTACCAAGTGGTACACAAGCTAAGTATAATACAACTTAACTGAAGCCAATAACAACAACTTAAGAACAACAGGAGGTCATTCAGTCCCTCAAATATACTCTATCGTTCAGTTCAATCATGACCGGGCTGTAACCTTCAGTTCCATTTTTGCGCCTTTTCCCATTGACATAGACCATCGCCTCCCCTCCAGGAGGGGAGGCGATGGCCTAGTGGTATTATCGCTGGACTGTTAAATCGGAGACCCAGATAACGAATCCCACAATGGCAGATGGCAGAATTTGAATTCAATAAATATCTGGAATTAAGAATCTAATGATGACTGTGAATCCATCTCCAATTGTTAGGGGAAAAACCCATCTAGTTCACTAGTGTCCTTTAGGGAAGGAAACTGCCATCCTTACCTGGTCTGGCCTACATGTGACTCCAGACCCATAGCAATGTGGTTGATTCTTAACTGCCCTCTGGGCAATTAGGGATGGGCAATAAATGCTGCCCTAGCCAGCAATGCCCTCAACACAAAAACCATTTCAACCCAACAAAAATCTATTGATCTTACTTTCAAAACCATTTAACTCTCCTTAACTTTGGCATCCATTATTTTTAGAGGAGAAAGTCCCAGACTTCCACTAACCTTATCGGGAAGGAATGCCTCCATACTTCATTTCAAACACTTCTAACTTTAAGTTGCCTTTTCCTGGACTCCACAACCAGGTGAAGTAAACTTCTTCCAATTGCCCTATTTAAATCCTTTCCATATTATAAAAACTCAGTTAGATCAGCCCTCAACTTTGTAAATTTAAGGGAATACAAACTCAGTTTATGCAGCCTGATTGAAACCATTAAGCTCTTGATTGTCATCACACCAGAATTCAGGAAATGGCACACAAACTATTGGACATAAAAAGCGTTAACAACATATTGCAGTCTGGATCAGAAGGCTGGAGGTGGAGATCAGTGGCAAATTCAAGAGGAGAAATTGGAGAGGTGTGTGTGCGCGCGTGTGTTTTGAAGTTGATTCTTGAGGCGTCTCCAGAGCAAGCCCATCTTAACCTGCACAATTTCAATATTTATGAGCAGATTAGAACCACCAAATTACAGCAAAGGCAATACAAACAATATCTAAATATTTATTTATGCTTGCTGTATTTATTGGATGATATGGTCCTTAGTCTTGGGAGGAGTGGATTGTAGAGGGCTTACAGTTTTTAACAGAATTGCCATCGTGTTTTCCCCCGATACATGGCGAAACATCCTAGACAACATGTACTACTGGGCAATTTGCCTACTTTGCAGTATCAAGTCTGATGCATAAAGTGGGAGGAAAGCC